TATTTTTGCTAATATTTCAGCACAGTTGTAATACAGTTTGCTGTATTGTTTGTATTTCTCGGAGATGAAAAGAGAATCAGGTTAAACACAGTGTAAATGCATCTAATGAATGTTGTGCTTGAAGATTTTGTAAATTTTCTTTGTCTTTTCTCCATGTTATGTCAAAACAGAGTATCCGATAAGATGATTGAAAAGTTTAGGTCATCCGGATGAATGCTTTTAATCTGGGATATTGATACAGATTGTTTTTTGGACCATTTTATCCTCTAGTCCAATTCCTCCAATGATCTTATGAACAGAGTTGCGAGGTCAAAAAAGCAATTGATAGACATGTTTAATAACTCCAATATTAAACATGATTTTTTTTTGCTCTGTACCTCTTATTTCTTTATCCTAGTCCTACCTACATTTTGAGATATGTCTTAAAACTTGCAATCGGATGACCGTGAAGAAAGCTTCCTGCTCAGAGACCCAACAGAGTGGTGATGCTGATTGCTGGCAGATGCCCCGACAATGAAACTGCTTCTGGGGGCTTAGATTCAGATAGCAAGTTGGAGTTCCTGGCACCAGCCCCATCTGTCTATCTGGCAGTCTCTCTGGACAATTGTTTAGAAAGCTCAAGAAATGTCCTTGGCTCTGCCAGGGATTCATATTGCTAGGAGGTTATTTGAAACGTCTGAGATTGCTACCACTGTTCATTTATCTAGTCATTTCTTACTCCCTCCTACTGTTGGTCGTGTCCCATAGGGAAAACTGAGAATAGGCTTTTGAGTTATATTTACAATGGAACCTTAAGCATTTGTAATACACACACACTCTCTAAAGTAATCCTCCAGAAGTTCTTTCTCAGATAAGTGGATATCTGATTCCAAGCTTTAGACTGTGCATTGAGCATGATTTGTTTAATCAACCTTTAATAAATACACCATATGGTAATTCAGAAACTATGGCTTTACAAGCCATTATGATCTGATTCATAAACCATACAAAGTCCAAACTAAACAAACTATATTACAGTTCAGTTTAATGGTCCCTAACCTGTGTTTCACAAGCACACTGCAGGCCATTCCTGGGCCACTGGAAAGTAATGCAATCTCAGCTCATGTACTACTTATGCATCGTGAGCAACATTACATTATTATTCACACTGCAGTTTGATTTACAAATATCCAGGCATAATATAATAGTCTTTGAACTGTAGCCTGTTTTTGAGCAAGCATGCTGAATTATTACAACATAACTATTTTTTAAAAAATGACAATGTTATGTGGTGCACAGAGTCTCCAGAAACATTCAGTGTAAAATGTAAGTCTAATCTGGCCTCTGCAACCTCTCGTTCCAACTTTTTGACAGCTTCACATGATGTTGCAGGAAAAGGCTCCTAAAATAGGAACATAGGAAATTGCTTTAGTTAGACCATTAGTTCATACAACGTAATATTGTCTACATTGACAGTTGCTCCCCAGAATTTGGTTTAAGTTGTAGAAATGACACAACACAGGTCTTTTAATGACTGTCTTTTTTTTTTTTTTGCAAGGTGCCTGTGTGACCATGAGGAGCTTTGGACTCTTTGCAAGCATTTAAAAAATATTTAGTAGCAGAAAAGTCAGTATTTTTCAAAGTCTGAATTCAAATTACAGAGTTTTAAAAATATCTGAATTATAAATAATATAGTACAGCATAGATTCCTACCCTTATCACTGCTTTTTGTTTGTTTTCTGGTAAATGTACCAAGTCATTGATTGATTTTTGATTGATTCTGATTTGATTGATTAAAATGGCATCAAGTTGATGTCAATATTTAGTAACCACACAGATTTTCGCTAGAGATTTTCCCTAGACAATAATAATTACCCTTAATTCAGATTTTGCATTTTTGTCTTGTTTTTCTTTTAAAGGCAGCAATCTGTTCTTACCAGGAAAGATCCCCAAGGCATACTTCTTAATCTGACAAAATTAGAAATTAAACAGACCTGTTTTACAAATAGGGGCTGCTACATAGCTTCTAGAAGAGTTTGAGAATAGTTCTTAGGAGCTAGGAATTTGGAGAGAACAGCAAGGGAAGCCTCCTTGCAAACATGGTGTGATCTAAGTCTCATTTGTAATCCAGAGTTTATTTGGATCTATAATGGAGGAATGGATTTTGAAGATGGCGGAGTTTGCAGAAATGGCAACATTGACTAGTTCGAGCAGGGATAAAAGAACAGGTACCTTTATAATAGACTGGAAAACTTTAATGGACTATTTTTCTGAAAGTAAAAAAAATGAAATGGTGATTTTTGGATTTGTTGATTAAAAGAGACAGAAAATATGGGACAGAAAACACAGTCTGATGTACTCATAGAGAGGAAGGAGGAATAATAAATTGTTTTGTAACTGCTGTAAAAAAGATTGGAAGTAACTACTTTATATTTTTCTTCTTTATGTGTACTGTCTCTCGCACTTTTTTCTTAACTCTCCTTTATATATGGTTTTAAATTTAACCTTTATTCATGTAAAAGTCTTCAATGAAAATTAGATATGTAACCAGAGTTTATTTGGTATAACTGAAGAGGTAACAATTATGAAAGATGAGCTGCATAAACAACAGACACATTATTTATCTCTGATAGAAGAGAATGTAGTTCAGGGTTGAAATAAGGGGTCCTTAGTTCTCTCTGAGCTTGGTTTGTTTCCAAACTAGGTAACATCATCAGTGCTAGTAGGGAATGGGATTAACTCTAGCACCAATAATGTTATCTAGTTTGGGTAATGAAACAGCTCCAAGAAAACAACCAATGCAGAGAACACCAAGGATCTCACATTATTTAATCTGTTCTATAGATTGCATATTAGGTCTTCAATCTAGCAAAGGGAGAACTAAATGTTTGAATAACCTCCCATATTGAAAAGCACCTCCATAGGAATACATAAGTACACCTCTTCCTCCATATAAACATAAGAAAATGATGCTTTTGAGTTTCTGGTTTTTAAACTCAGAAACTTATGTACAAACGAGAACAATTTCCCTCTGTCAGTGGCTGAACCACAGTGCTTGTACCTTGTGAGCCTGTTGAATGTGAGTGTTGGCTCTGAGTCATGTTATGATATATTTGAAAAGGCAAAGATGGGACTTTAATTTCTTACTTTTTAAAGAAATTATAAAGGATTTTTTTATTGTAGTCATTATTGATCACAACAGTGTGAGGTCACAGTTGCCAGTTCTTTAGCTGTTGTTGGTCTTCATATGCATCTGAGTTCTTCCAAGAACTGAGGATGTCATAATGTATCTGGATTATTATGGTTTGTTGCAGTCAGCCAGATGTTTAGACTGGATTTGGCATGTTTATTCACCTAGTGAGTCCTTCCCAAGGACCTGGGATAGGCAGATATTGTCTGATGATATTTAAGGTATCATCACAGGATGTTAGCTGTTTCAAGCAAAGCTGCCTTTTCCATTTGACTGATGGGACTGATGGTGATTTTGTCAGTGTTAATGGTGTTCAAATGATGCTTCATATGCTTTGGGATTGCACCCAAGATACCTATTACTATTGGTGCTATCTTTTCTTTCTTTTGCTACAGTTGTTCTACTTCTATTATTACTCTGCTTAACATTGCCTGGGGGACAAATATGTACTGTAGCTCTCCAGATGCTGATTCAATTCCATGGTTGCTAATCACTACCAAGTTGGATTGTTGCAAACTATTTCCTCTCCAAGAAGTAAATTTCTGATAGCATTCATAAGTCTTTCTTGCCCAAATAGGTCTAACAGTAATGGTTCATTTTCTCTGTTCTAGTGACTACTGGCAAGGGCTTGACTACCAAATGGAAAGCTCCTAGGAAAATCAATCAAAATATGGCATAAAGCTTTTATATCTTTCTTCCTTCAATGAATTTATTTTCTTCTTTCCTAGAAAGAGAGAAAATATAAAGGGCAGTGGAATCAACACAAGCAAGTTATAACATCCCGTTCTGGACCTTAAGAGTCCATTAGTAGTATTAGAATCCTTGCACATGAAAGACCCTACTAGAAACAGTCAATGTTATAAGGTGGATCAGTATCAATCAATCAAAATGTATTTATGGTTCAAGAACAAACATGTTGATCAGTGTGAGAAAACCAGGTAAGTTAGAACTACTTGAGTCATATGCATCCAGCTTTCAATACTTAGTTCCTCTCCTGGTTTTGGTAAACTGTACTTTGCTGGCAAGAATCAAAAGACAAGGGAATAAGAACTTACCTTCTGATCTAAAATGTCTGATTGATGACTGGCATTGCTTGATTGATCAAAGCTGGCAATGGTCTGGTACGAAGGCACCAAGAGGATATTGCCAGGAATCAAATCAGCAACACATTTCTTTTCTGAGAACTCTAATCCAGCTTCTCCTTCTTTAACCGCTTTATAATAAATCAGCCCAAAAGCATTGGTCTACTTAGTCAAATTTGTTACTACTCTTGTCCAGAGGAGTTTTGTCAGTTTTACCATCTTAGGGACTTATGTTCAGGATATATATATTTCCTGAAGTTGGGTTATATATATATTCAAGTAAGAGCAGAAAACCCATGGATGTAAGATACGTGGTATATATACATGGCTAGAGAGGATGACAGATGTGAGAGTGGGCGAACAGAAATGGAGAGTGGTTGGATCCAAGAGGAAGGAAACAGAAACTTCGGAGGGCATCAACACAATAAAGAATGTGGACCTTTTAAGAAACCAGATGGAGAGACTGGATGGACCGGTAACCAGGTCAAGGAGCTGAGTGCAAAGCTGCCCGGCAGCATAAGAAGGACTCCCAGCAGTCTTGCATCATGCTCTGATGATGTCGGTAGTGTTGACTGATGAAAGACTTAGCTTTTAATTAAACAAGTTTTGTTTTTAGTATTATCTTGGTGTTTGGATTATTTTATAGCATATATATATATATATATATATATATATATATATATATATATATATATAATAGTTATTAATGTTTTAGTGATATCAGAAAAACAATTTTAAAGTAATCAGAATGGCCATATCAATATTTATTGAAATTCTGGAAATAAAAATCCATTAGTGTTGAGAAAATTCCTGGCAAGGACTGACATGAAACAACATGAACTTCACAGATACATTCAGAGAACAAGTAACTAACTGCACAGTTTAAAGAGTTGCATGGATTCAAATGCCAGGTAGCTGCAGAACATAATGGTAATACAAATATTCAGACACTACAGTTGTCTGATTACAAACACTGAAACAACAATAAGAAACCAGCCAAAGCAAAAACCTTTGCATTTTAGTCTGCTTTTACTAATATGTAATCAATAAAGCAACTGTAAGTTAACTGTCTTGTTACAAAGTGGTTAACAATTAAAATTTATTTTGCAAACTTGGGCAATCAGATGAATTCCTGGAATCTCAGATGTTGGCTAACCTGTGTGATAATTTATTTGTGACTTTGTTCAATAAATATTCTTGGCTCTTAACATCCACGTGAATGATCTGGTTGTGTCCACTGAAAATTGTGCTCTGTTAGTGGTTTTAGTTTGTTTTCAGCTTTAAAATGGTATCTGCCACGGTGTTTCGACAAAAAAAGTTAAAGATTTTACAAGACACCCATGTGAAAAGTTTGAATTAAATATTTTTCTAATTAGCCTTAAATACCACAGATGATTATTTGAATTTTTAAAGGAATCTTCCTTGTATTCATCGGAAATATAAAGAGAACTATTAACATAAGTTCCCTAAGATAGAGCTGTTAGTAGTTGCCACTGGAGAATTATAGGAGAATTCCAGAGTACTGGGCTTCATCAACTTTCTCAGCTTCACATCCCCACTTTAATGACATGTACAAGAATTCTAGGCTCTTTCTAATTAGAAAATAATTGTCAATATTACTTCAACCATATTAACGTATGTAGGGCATTAAAGATGGAGATATTTAAAACTTTTGAAAAATGAACACATTTGACTTTTTGGTACCAAGATAGTATATTAATAAAGTTTATTTAATATACCGTGGGCCTGGATACCAAGAAGTATGCAGCCAATAGCTTGGGCTTACCTTGTGAAACTTCTGTTTTTTGCTTTTTCTTTCAACAGTAGATTCTCAAATTTATCTTGAAGCCCCTTTAACCACTTTATAAGTTTTTATTTGGCATGAATATTCCAAAGTCCAACCTATTCATATCTGTAGAATGAACTGAATGAGCTGGGACTTGACTATTAGGCTACTACTTTGATTTCTACTTCTACTAATGTAGCCTCTCAGTACAACTGAATTATCCATCTTATTAATAGCAGGTAATTGCAGAAATAAGGTAGGAGTAACTATTTGTATCCAAGAAATATCCTTTTATATAAGCAAAGATGATTTCTCCTTTGTCTCTTCTGACTCCTCTCCATTAAAAGACTGGCATTTTAAAAACAACCAAATTCACATGGTGATAAAGTAGCCTAAAGCTAATACTACAGACATAAGTGTTGTCTTTGGTATATAATGTCCACTGCTTAAAAAAATATCCAGATAAGAGTGCACCTCTCTATGTTCACGTAAAACAAAGAGAAGTGCTAATCACAAAATTTACAATAAGATTTTAAATAAACAATGTTTAGGATTATGAAAATGTATAAACATTTAATCAAAAACCTGATTTTAAACTGAAAAGTCCTTTGAATGTCCCTGAACTATGAGTTGAAGACATGCTGTAATAAACATATATATTTGGTTTCTTTATTCTGCCTATATTTTTATATAAAGATGAAACTGAGGAACAATAAATTAGCATCACAATTGGCTACAATGGAAATGGTGTTATACAATATAAATAAACTATTTAAAAGCCAGCAATCGTCATGAAAACAAATGGACAAATAAACAAGGCTTGTGGATTAGAAGTTTGATACAATTTCTACAAGTGATTGTACAGCCAATAACCCAAACAGAAAAATAAAGTAATTAACATATATGAGATTCCCCTTTTGATTTTAGTGTCTCACGACATACAGTAATTAAGTACTGGTAAAGCTAGTTACCAATCTAGAAAGCAACATTAAGGAAATCATGGTTTTGCAATATTATCATGGGATTTCTCCCTCCCCCAGGACCTCACAAATGTAAACACAATAAAGTTTATTTTCTTCAAAACTGTAAAGTATTAATACTTCCACCCTAAACATATTCGATCCACATTTGTACAGTTACCATTCAAAATTCTGAAATAAGGCAAAGCTTTCATTATGGTGGCACATTTCATAATACTGATAACTTCATGTTGGATAGAATTATTTGTCCTTCTCTGATATTTGTTCTGCAGCGGACTTTGGTTTTACATAGATTTGGCAGTATCGCTCTTCATTTAGCACACCAAAGATTTTTGCTTTAATTCTTGTTTTTAAAATGTGTTTTCATTTCCAAACGATGCAGATTTTTCAGACTACCACTAATAAGAACCAATTGCTGGATTTCATCAGTTGATCTATTTGTATCAATAGGACTAGTTACTGACTTTCAAAACTTTTTGACCCCAAAGTAAGATAAAGCTGAAGAACTTGGTTTTCTGAATGGGTAAAGTGAGAGATTCTTAGTTATCTAGGTCATAGTTGCTTCAACGGTACCTTTTTCTTTGAAAGGCAACTGGGCTGTTTTTTCCTTGAGGAAGAAGAAACATTTTGGATAAGAAGCGAAATGTTTTCTTCTTCTTCCTCAAGTAAAAAACAGTCCAGTTGCCTTGCGAAGAAACAAGCACTTTTGAGGACAAGATAATATTATGGTACTTGGTGTATTGTGCCTCCTCGCATAAGGGAAGTTCTGGACCTTTCAAAAATACATCAAGAATGTGAGATTAAAAAGGAGACATAGAGATCTGGATAGGCAATCAAAGCAGAATGAAGGAATTAGTTTATAGTGAAGGCATAAATGGATACCTGTTGGGACCAAATTCTGACAAAAGTGTGTTAAAGCCAAACATTGGCTGGACTAGCTCAGAAGCCATGACTAGCTTCTGCAACTATCATCCTCAATCATCTTCCAGTTCTCAATGTTTCAGAAGGTTCTGGGTGTTTTAAATTTCTCATTTAAATGCCTCTGTTTCCTATTCCTCCCACAAACGTTTACTGAAATTTAACATTGTGCCTCTTCCATTGCCAAGAGTTAAGGTTTGAGGACCTGGCAAAATAAGAGTCCCAGGAAAAAATTGGAAGATGGTTTTCTTAAATCTGAAAATGCCTTTATCGGATACTTATTCCCCCCACCCCAGCTCCAGTTCTGATTATCTGGTTTTAGATATGAATTCAGACTACTGTCTAGTATGGCCATCTAGACACCTTTAATTTTTTGCTCCGTAGGCCAAATGGGAAAACTAGGATGCAAGGGCTACAATAATGATCTGAAGACTCCAAAGTTATGCTAGCCTGCTCTTGACGTGCATGTGCACATGGTTCATGAGGAACCTCTAACTGAGGGATACGTGGGAAAAGGAAGAAATCACAATGAAGACAAGACAGTGGGATATTAATTGAATTCATTAATCTGGAATTCTCTCAAATCCAGGTACTAGATTGGAGTTCAAGCAAAAAGATGCTACTGCTTGATGTTTTATTTTAGGCTGTGGTTAAAGAGTAGCCATAACCTGATCTGGCACTAAAAGCTTTGAGAAGTCATTCCAATAATATTGAATTTGAGCCTGGAATTAAAGTCCACTATCAATTGCTTTGGAGCAGCTTTCTTCCCAAATTTGACCAGTGGTAGAAGAGAGAGATACTGCCTGGCTGAACAACAAGAACCCAATGACAAAAGTAACCTTAGAAAATATTAAGAATGTCACACCAATTTTATGAATAAAATTTTCTTCTCATAATAATAATAATAATTTTTCTCATATTTGATATCTGCAGGTTGGACTCCCAGACAGACAAAAATCCAGGCTGTATTTATTTGCTTGCTTGCGACACTATTCTGTATGCATGTGTGAGTGTGTGGCTCACTCCAGATTTTTAATGTAGTGTAGATATACAGATTCCTCTTGGAAGGAGAAGTAAGAACTCAGTCTTTGGAAAGACGACACAGGGAAACTGCAGTCTTGCATCCTTTACAGTGTTTTCAGTCTTGCTAACCAATGAAGGGTTGTAGTGCATGCAGATCCCCTTGATCTGTTAGCTGAATAACACAGATAAAACTTGCTGCTAAATGTATTCATAGTGGTCACTGGTAAAGTTTAAAAGTATAAGCATTGTTCTTTCCATTTTTATTTATTTATTTATTCTTTTACCTTTATCGACATGGAGGTTGGTAGCCTTTCCGCTGGCAAATCTCTTTTTATTCGAGTGATAAAAGTCCTATACAAGTTCCTTCGGGGAAACGGTGTAGCATTTCATTCACAGTTGGCAATGAAAATACCCTGATACATCACTTATTTACTATTAAGTATTTTGATTATTATAACATTTTTTTTTTATTTTGCAAAGTTTCTTTAAACCGAGTTATTTCAATTAGTGTCACTCGGAGAACTTTTAGAGTATTTTTCTTTCCGGAAAAGCAGGAGCTGTATCAAAGGCTATCATTTATGCTCTCTTTGCATGCAGCATTTCAATGAGAAGGTTATTACATGGCACATCCCCGTTCAGGTGTTTATAGTAGAGGTACTCTTCGGCCTGCATGCTGATTGCCCGGATTTCTGGGAGTCTCAGCAGAAGCTGCCCAAATTTGTCTGTTTGCTGTGGATAGTTGCACATGGTATAGTCCAGCAAAGCAGCGTTCACTTGCTCTTGAACACCTTCTACCAGCTGGAAGTTCTCCAGGTTTTTGACATCTGAATAAAAAAATAAATATAAAATAAGATTACGAACATGGTAATAATCATGGTGTTTAAACAGGTAGCCCTCAACTTACAACAGTTCATATAGCGACCATTGAAAGTTACATCAGCAGTGGAAAAAAAGTGACTTAGGACCATTTTCACACTTAGGATCATTGCAGCAGCTCCGTGGTCATGTGATCAAAATTCGAATGCTTGGCAACTGGTTCATATTTATGACGGTTGCAGTGTCCTCGGGTCATGTGATCAACTTTTACGACCTCCTGACAAGCAAAGTCAATGGGGAAGCCAGATTCACTTCACAATCGTGTTACTAACTTAACAACTACAGTGATTCACTTAACAACTGTGGCAAAAAAGGTCGTAAAATGGGGCAAAATTCACTTAACAAATGTTCAACTTAACAAATGTTGGGTTCAGTTGTGATTGTAAGTTAGGGACCACCTGTACTTAATTATTAAAATGGTATTTCACTAATATGTTTTCCTCAGCATAAACAAATGTTTTCCATGCCCCTGAATATTAGTTGAATCCCTCTGCCAAGTTTTCTGAAGACTAAAAGTATGAACAAACCTCACCAAGTCTAACTTTGGAATGTCATGTTGAAATTCTGCATAAAGCTTAGATTGTTGAGACATCAATGGATTTTGTACAAGGTCATCTCTTTCTTTTCCATGTATCTTGTGGAGAAAAAGGTTGAAGATGCCTAACATTCAGAATTGTAATATATAGTTGGCAAATGAGTCCCCTGAGAGGAAGGCGTACCTTTAACCCAATATATTACACAATTCATATAATTCTGTATTAATTCTTCTGATCCAAGGTGAAATCTGTGTCCAGGGCATACTGTAGTTAATTCTAATAAAAAATGACAGGCTTCTTGTTTCTTTTTTGACATTTTTCTAAATTATTCTGAAAGACTTTGACTTGTCCATCCTGATGCTAATGAGCCATCTGGAACATTCCAGTGATTGCCAAAACAACCTGCCTGACCCACAAATGAGTGTGTGCGTGTCAGTTTCTGAATCTTTCTCCCTACTGGATGGTTGTAAATACTTCAGACTCAGAATCTAACATAGTTTGCAAATATTTTCATTTATTATATTTATTCCTCTACTTCACTATCAACTACTCTAAATTCTTGGTACAAAGCGATGCCCAACAAAGCTTTTTCCTTACAAGCTTACGGCTCTTCTAAACTGTCTTCAGTCCAGAATTTCTTATAGTAACCTGAAATAGAATTCTGGAGCTCACTCAGGCATAATCTTTGTCTAATAAAAGTTATGCCAGCCAGAATACCAAGACTGGCATTTTCACCTATATGCTTAATTTCTTTGGAACAAAAACCTCTTTCAATTTTCCTTTTAGACTCAGCACTGTCTCCTTTACTGTCTCTGTCCATGAAATGACAGGTAAATCCAACCTTTAATAACATTTTAGTAGAGGGAAAGCAAGAGTTGGTTTGATGTAGTAGTTTATGCACCAGGCTAGAAATCAGAAGACTGTGAGTTATAGCTCTGTCTTAGACCTGGAAGTCAGTTAGGTAATTTTGGCCCAGTTACTCTCTCTTAGCCCTAGAAAGGAGGCAGTGGCAAACCACTTCTGAAAATATTAAGAAAACTTCAAGGACTAGAGCAGACAATGCTAACTTGCAGACATAAAATAATAATAAAAAAATACGATTGAAACATTTTTATACATCTGCAGGATTGTACAGATCCATGTAAATAAATAAATAAATAAATAAATAAATAAATAAATAAATAAATAAGTAAGCAGGTATTAATTGTTTGACTGTGTGCTAAAGAAAGTCACTTTGGACAAGTCTCCTTATTTGGGTTGTCAGGGTTAGGGTTACCCAAAAAAAATCAAATATTTTTCCATTGCATGTGAATTCTTGTGAATGTTCGCCAGTTTCTTCCTCAAATCAATAGAACCGTATTTCTTTTATTACTGTATGTGCTGATTGTACAACATGATGCATTCATAAATTTAACAGCCAATCCCTATGTGCACTTCAGCCCACAGCAAAATCCTTCAAAACAATGAAATCTGCATGTATATAGATGGCACATCTAGAAGGGTCCTTCATTTGTAAAGTATTCCAGCCCTTGAAGGTCATGTTACTAAACTTCAGGCAAAACTCTATAGCTATTGGTAATAAAGGCAAAATCAACTCTAAGGGGAAAAAGTAACCTCTTATCCTAGACTGATCATGCACTCAAATACTTGATGAGCACTCAATTGCAGTGACTCATGATCCTATTTTATATTGGAATTCATCTGTAATTTTGCACTGAAAAATATGTGGCTTTTCTTTTTTTAAAAAAATGCCTTCTGCTTTTTTTCTTTTTTCTAAAAAAGCAACATAATGAAAACAACAGTTTAGTAAGACTCACTGAAAGGAAAATATTGAATAAACTGTGTTTCTGAAAGAACACTTAATGGCTCTTACCCAGATTACCTTTAACCCAAAACTCATACTAAGATTAGTTATTAAACTACTTGAATACTCTAACTTTAACCCTGCTATGCCTTAAATTGTAGATTAACTGATCTTAATTAAACAGTGTGATTATGTGATAAAGAGTAACAAATTTGGACACACGCAAAAATACTTGTTTAACTGAGGCTTTAAAATGTCAAAGCTGCAAAGAGCTTTGATTTATTTACAGAAAATGATTCACCTTCTGGAAGAAAAATGTGAAAACATAATGGTAGTCTTGGGGAAATACAATGCATTGCCAATAGGACTCTTTTGGTGTCAGCACTGCCAGGAAATCAAATCTGTTACTTTAACAAAGTAATCTTTGAAACTTAAAGCTTTTTTTTTTTCAGCATCCAAGTGCTTGGTAAATGGAGGCAGAGAACTGAGAATTCATGAGTTATGTATAATCTAAGAAATCAGCATTTCAAGTTCTGAAAAGCTTGTGACAAAAAAAGGGGGGAAATACTGTCTTTCTTGCTGTACGCACTTTCAATTCAAAGTACAAGAAAGGGGAAAATAGTATCAACCTCTTATCTCTTCCACTTTATTCACTCAGGGACTAATTACTGATTTTTAATATGAAACTGTCTTACTGAATGTTCACAGTGGGACACATCTCTTTTCCCCTCCTTACAGGAAAGTAAACCCTGAAGTCTTGTAGAATATATTGTATTTTTGCAAACTCTTGCAATAGTATTTTTTGTCAAACACAGAATATATCCGTTCTATAATTTACTTCTAAAGATCAGGGTTTTTTTAAAAAACAAAAATTAAAATGCCATTCTCAGTTATGCATTCACTCTAAAAGTCTGTCAGCATCTCCTTAAAAACTCCTATTTCTGACAGTTTATCCCTTTCTCACCAAATAAAGATGCTCAGCTCAAAGTCTGCATATTAAATAAGACTAGAAAAAGAATATGATCCCATTTTTTTTTTTTGTAAAAACACAATAGGTCTTAGCCTTCAGAGAAGAAAAATATTTAGGTTTCACAGAAGCTTCCTTTCCTCATATTTGAAGCGCTGAAATTCAGTGCAGAATTAATTGATAGAAAACTCATGTAGTTTGCAAATTCTGAAAAGGGAAATTAAAAGTGAATGGCAAGTTATAGTTTGAAAAGTGGCTGCTGTGCAAAAGTTGATAAGAAAAATAACTATACTTATTGTACAATTTAGATATCTGACTGCTATTGTCAAGGAACCTAAGGTTATCCATACTCACTTATGTTGGTTTATAGTTGAAATGCTAATGGCCTCTAAGAAATTGATGTCTTGTTTTATATCATTATTTAGAAGGTTGCCACCATCTTCTTAAAAGATTGGCACAACTTAAAAAAGCTAAATTAAAATCAGGGGGAAAAATGCCTGTTAACAAAGCACAAGGCTAAAACAAGCATTAAAAAAAAAACTTGAGGAAAAAAAGGTTTCAAATTTCCTCTTAAACTACAATAAGGAGAAGACTTGTTTCTAATTGAAGGAGTTGGTTGCTTACTATGGGCTCTGCCAAAGGAAAGTAGAAATTACCATTGACGCAACATGAACCTATACTGAAGGCCAGTTTGATGTAGTGGCTAAGAGATTATGAGTTCTAATTTCACCTTAGATACAAAGATAGACTGACCTTGGGCCAGTCACTCTCTTTCAGCCCTTAGGAAGGAGACAATGGCAAGTCAATTCATGGAAAATCTTGTCAAGAAATGGCAGTCTCATGTGACCACACCAACTCAAAGGTATAAACATATATACATGCATGTCCTGCTAATGAGCCAAGAATGTGGGGTGGACCATATAGTAACATATGAACCTGTAAAGCTTTTATGAACATAAAGAATTGGTGGTGGAGGGCAACTGTGAAGCTGTTTCAACATGGGGAAGTGTGGAACCTCAAATAAATCCTATTCAACTACATTGCTGCCACATTCTGGACCATTTGCAATTTCTAGATTCTTTAAGAATTGTTCTATGCTCTTCTCAGTCTTAGAATATCAGCAAATGAATAACCAGTTCTGAGCTCTGAGGTTACCAACACATGACTATTCAGCACATAAAGGTCAAACCCAGACCTCTTTTGGGGTAAGGACATCTCTGTTTTATCAACCAAATTGATAAAAACACTTTACTACTGATATTACATGGTCAAAATATAGCCAAATATTTCAGAACAACACCTTCATAAAGGATGTTTTGGTGTAATCTGGTCTTTCCTTTGACAGCAAGAGCACAACAAACAAACAAACAAACAAAACAAAAAACCAACCGCCCCACTATGATTATGTATAATATTTGCATGGATAACTCATGCACATTGATGCAGATTTAGAGAATATTTAAATATTCACACCATGATATGATACTCAGTCAGCTTGCTGTCCAAATACAATTTTTGATGTGCAGCTTCAAGGGCCCCACTCTTCCTACTAAGCACCTTTAAAATTGTAAAGGCCCTAAATGTAGGGCATTTGCTTCAAATAGAGTTTGGTCCTCTGGAAACTGGGACACACCGTTCTCC